GATCCAGAAGGCTTCATCAGTCAAGGAAACACACAACACAAAACTGATTCTTCCCCCAACAGCTTACTCCAAAGCAGAACTGGTTTGTTCCACTTTGGAGTAAGCTGTTGGAGGAAGAATCAGTTTTGTTGTGTGTTTCCTTGACTGATGAAGCCTTCTGGATCGAAGGCGAAACGTTTCAGCACAAAAAAAAAGAAACTGTCCAGATGACCTGACTGAAAAATGTTAAATTGTATACCTGGATTATTGAGCGTGGACTTTGCTGTTAATGGCTCTTATGGTTTAGGAGAACTGAACGGGAGAAATAAAACTTGATGCACAAAATGAAGTCACATTTACAAACTTTTGTTTTTAATTTATGAACGTTAACTAACATGTAAACTAAACAAGTGTTCAAACTAAAATGAAGCCATCAGGAAACAGATTGTATTTAAAAATTAAACATCCAGGTTGTTTTTATTCTGTCATTTATTGAAAAAAACAGCAGAGGGCAGAATTCATTCAAGTTTTTGTTTGTTTGTTTGTTTCTTCATTTTAAATGTTCTGATTGTGTTTCTAAGATGTAAAATATTTATCTCTGAAGATAAAAAGTGATGATAAAATTTGACATAAATATTGGACATCTTCAACATGATGAAGATGGCCGGTAACCAAATGACTGACCAACATACAGACTGACCAACCAACCAACTGATCAACTGATCAATTAGCCAACCAACCAATAAACTGACTGACCAACCATCCAACAACCAACAGACCAATCAGACTGATCAACCAACCAACCGACCGACCAACTGATCAATTAGACAACCAACCAATAAACTGACCGATCAACCATCCAACCAACTGACCGAACAACTGACTGACCAACAACCAACTGACCAACCTACTGACCAACTGATCAATTAGCCAACCAATAAACTGACTAACCAAATGACCGATCAACTGACCGACTAATCAACGGACAGACCAACCAACCGACCATCCATCCATCCATCCATCCATCCATCCATCCATCCATCCAACCATCCCTCAATTTTTTTTTCCCCATAACAATCATCTCCGATCTGTGAACAGATTGTGGCTTTTAACACCGGACACACTTTACATGCAGAGTAAAGAAATTAATAAACACAGTATTATCTTCTTCTTTAGGCTGCTCCCTTCTTCAGGGGTCGCCACAGCGAACTCACTCGCATGAAGAGCAACTATTTTTATGCCGGATGCCCTTCCTGATGCAACCACAGACCACCAAACTACCACAGCCCTCTGTGTGGAGCAGAGAGCTGCCAGCTAGGGCACCTGGGGGAGTAGATGGTGGGGGGTTAAGGGCCTTGCTCAAGGGTCCAGAGTGGGGCAGATGAGGGTGGAAGCAGGTGTGGGAGCTTCACTTTTCCCACCCACATTTTGATGTTGTCGGTCTGGGGAGTCGAACCAGCGACCATCCAATCACAGGCTCCCCTTCTCTAACCTCTGCACCACCACTCCCAATAAACACAGTATAATAAAAAATAAAATACAAAGTAGTACTGGTAGTTTGAATTGTGACTGTGGTGCAACTTGATAGTGGAATTGATTAAACACTCAAAGCAGTTAATAAAAGCTCTGAATAATTATGAAAACTAAAAAAAGCACTATATTTATTACATAGTTATAGAGTCAGAAATAAATATTTTTTGTATTTCTAAGATTTTCATGAGATCTGGTGTTGTTGAGAGAAGACAGAATTTATTTGTTGCAATGACTGTGTTGGGAGAAAGATTACGGTACATTTTATTTGCATATGAAAATGCAGTAATAATGAAAAATATAAAAGCACTAAATTATATTAGTATTAGTTATTTGTATAAATTGATTCTAGTACAGTTTGTGGTGGTTTGGACCCAGAATCCAGACTGGACATAAGTCACTTCAAAGAGAACCGACCAAGGAGCAGAGAACCGAAAGAGGAGTGACATCAAGCAAAAACACCCATGTGTCAAGATCTGAACGCACTGGAACTGAACTGAAGTCGTGTAAGTAAACACAAAAACAGATCAGCTAAAAACACGACAAAGCTCAAACACAAGAATCCCAAGATCCCAAAAACAAAACATAATAACCAAAAGGGAAACTGAACCTGAACTAAAAGAACTATCAACAAGTGATCAAAATACAAAGACCACAACAGATTCTTTGAATATAAATGAGTCAGTTGATGGATTTAAATCTATGTCGAGGTTTTTGTACTCCAGACTGTTTTAATATCTGTGAGTCAAATACAGTAAATAAATGAGATGAGATTCTGGAGTGTCTCCAGTGAGACTAGTTCTGCCCTGCCTTGGCATTTTAGATATGCTCAGAGAGACAGTTGGTCTGAGGGTCTGACAGTTGATCCTGTGCGGCAGAAAGTTAGTCCTGGGGGATAAACAGTTGGTCCTAGCTGGGCAGACAGTTGGTCCAGGAGAGCAGACAGTTGGTCTTGGGGGACAGACGGTTCTGGGGGACAGTCTTACATCATAAATGAATCCCGTATGCACCAGTCCAAAAGGTTTGGCTGTCCTCCTTGGCACCCAGATTCCTCAGACCTTTTGAAACAGAGTCCATCATCAACACCTCCACTGGTCGTTCTAAACTTCTGTGATCCACGAGAATTCTTCCCACATTCCTTGTTTCCCAACTCAAACCTGAACTCTACAGAACTCTTTGCCCACTAACCACATCCCCATCACCTGCCCCTCTAACCGACTATTGGCCAACATGGAACGTCCAAATTCTTTATGTATGTCGCAGAAGTGTCCAGTACCTGGTGGACTCGATGATCCAGAGGAACACTTGCATAGATCCCACATTCCTTCATTCTAGATCTCGACGTGATATCCTCATTCTTCGAGGACCACAAAGATGGGGCAGCTGTGACTGAGTGGTGAGAGCAGTCATCTTCTAATGGGAGAGTTTGTGGTTCGATTCCACCAGAAGTCACATGTTGAGGTGCCCCTTAGCAAGACACTGAAGCACTCACTGCCTCTGATGTGTGTCCCATTGGTGTATGGGTGTGATCTAAAGCACTGATTAGACTCTACAGATTCAGATTAGCTTGTAGAGATCTAGTAGAGTGCTGTGTGGAAAAGTAAATGAGGGCACAAGTTGTATTGTAAAACACTTTGAGTATCTTGACTTGATAGAAAGGCGCTATATAAGTACAGTCCATTTACTATTTACCACACAGATAAACAACCTGGGTTGCCATGTGACTCACTTCTAATCTTCGAGTTCTTTCCTGGTTGGGAAAACACAATTCCACTATAAATTGGACTAATAAACGAAGTGGCAACTGGAGTTCCAGTTGCCTAGCCAACTGTTTACAACCACTGGAGCATGATGAGCCCAACACATATCAACATCTCTTGTCTGTTTTTAGTATCTGCAAATCTGTTTGCCTTTTTGAAGATCCGGGTCCATCCCAGTCTCTTTGCATTTTGGGTCTTGACATACCACAAACCATTTTAACTGGCAAGAATAAATACTCACTACAACTAACTCACTTAGTACTTAATCTGAGTATTTTTATTGGTCTTTCACCACCATGTGAGAGACCGGTAAATGGACAGACTAATAAAGTCCTGGAGAAAACCACAGAGCGTCCTGCTGCTGGGTCAGGGTCTGGATGCAGTAAAACCTTACTGGGATATTTTTACCACATAAATCATGAAGAAAATATTTCCTGAAAAACAGCAGAAACTTTGAACAGAACCCCCACCCCCACAAAACAGTCACTTGTCCTCCGTCTGTCCATTTTTGTCTCTCTGTCCTTTTTAAGTCTGACGGCTCAGCGAACAGCAGCAGACGACCCTTTTATAGGAAGAGAGACGGAGTTCCTGAAGCCTGGTGCCGTGGGAACGGCTTTAAACACACGCACGCACGCACGCACGCACGCACACACACACACCTCGTATTCCTCTGTCTCCTCTATTTGACTGACAGGAAAGACGCTCGTCGTGCCGTCAAACAGATAAAAACGTTAAAATGATTTCCAAACACTGATTCTGGTGTTTGACAGTCAGTTACTTTTTGTTTGTTTGTTTACAAACTCTTCTTATTTCCGCAGCCTGAACTGTTCATCTCCAGTTTCTCCTCAAAACTTCTGTCCTCCCAGTGTGTCTATCTGGTGGAGGACTGAGGTTTCCTCTTAGAGGTCAAAGGTCACACGCCCAAAAGCTCATTGACAGCCACTGAATCTGAGCTTCTAAACAGGAAGTGAAGGCTTTTTTTTTTAACATATATTCTCCAGAAAAAAACAGTAGAATTATCAAACAGAACCTGTGGTGCCATCAGAACCTTCAGCAGCTCACGAGTCAGGAAGTTCTTTGACCTGACTTCTAGTTTTTACACAGAGACTGTTTGTCTGAGGCTTACTTTTTACTCTGTAGTCCTGCCTGAAGCGCTACTGGGTGTTGTCCCTCCTCGCCATGTGACCTGTCAACGGTGACTCAGCAAATTGTAGATCTTCTATATTACCCAGCATGCTTTTCTTCC